GGCCACGAAGCACTGGTCCAGCATCTGGTACATGGGCTGGGTCCGGACGTCGACGTTGGGAGGGCCACACGGGATTGTGCGGGTGGAGTGGTACCAGCCGACACCGATCGGTCTGCGCCAGCCTCTCCGCCTCCGTGGAGGCCGCGGACAGCTGCTCCGGGGAGATCTCCACCCGGTCCTTCCTCTTGTCCGAGCGGCGGAGGATGATGACGGAGTAGATGTGGACGATGCGGGCGGGTTCGACCTCCCCGATGCACAGACCCATCACCTCCTCCTTCTCCGTGCTCAGCGCGTGGTTCATGCACACCAGGAAGGCGTCGGACTCCAGGTGGACGGCGCTCACCGCCATGTTGGAGGACAAATGGAGTTTCTCTCTGAGGACCAACACATAAACAGAGGCAGCGGCAGCGCTTCACTTCCGCCTTCTGTGGTCCCGCGCTAAAAGCATTCCGTGTCGGTGCGGTCGGGCTCTTACAGCGACCAAAGGTTCCGCTTGTTCGTCACAGTTTAGTATAAAAGTCGTTTCTTTAATGGATGTGACTGTCTGGGTTTTTATGTCATATGTATTTAACAGTTTTGGGCAGTAACTCATTATTACTAATAATAGTACTTTCCCCAGTAACTACTATTGTAACTAATTACTAATACATTTCAGTAATAAAATTACACCCCAAAAAATAATTAGTTACAACATTACTTTTCTTCTAACCGTCCTACTGATTTTAAAATCAATCACATGCTTGGAATTATTTTTGTAATTGTGGAGGAAACTAGTTTGGAAGATGGAAACTTACATTCAGCAGCTGGAAATATTAGTCTGATTTTAACAAACAAATCTGGATTTTAACGTCGTCAGTCTGAATTTTGGGAGGAAGGGGCACAATTACCAACTTTGTGTGGAGTAGAAGAAAAGTAATATAACTAGTAACTAATTACTGTTGGTAGGGAGTAATAAGTAAAGTAATAATATTACTTTTGAAAGGAGTAATGAGTAATACATTACATTTCTTTGAGTAACTAGCCCAACACTGTTATTTAAACACATTTATCATGAGGCTGTCTTGGTAAAATAGGGTATTTCTGATTACAATGTGACTGGAATGTGCTGTAAAAGTTTATGAATCATCCAACCAATCAAAATATTCTTCAGTATGCAACTTGTACAGTGTGATGTAGAAACATGAAGCCACCAGTGCACATCCACTGAGAATGGACTTTACCATGAAGTAGGAGACATCTTGTGTCCAGCAGGAAAACTTTAGAAATGAACAACATTTACATATTCAGAGATTCTGGAAGTTTTAATGAAGTAGAAGGAGGAGATCACTTTTTAAGGAATTGAAGTCAGAAATGATTATTATTATTTATTTATTTTCTGCTGAAAAAACATATCAGATATGCATTATAGTTCCAAGCAGATTATTTGTATATGTGTCTTAATACATGTCTGGAGGGGATCCAAAGTGAAAGTGCTCATTAGGCAGCACAATGCTGTCAGTGTCATATTATTATTATTTATTATTATTATTCACAATAAAAAAAAAATGTAAACACAATTTAAATGTCATTGTAATTTAAGGTACTGTTGGGTAGTATAACAATGCATCATTGTAAGACAAGATGCACAATCTCACACACAATTATTATATCTTATAGCCCACTATTCTGTTTTACATACAGTATTACAGAGTGTGTAATGGTATTTGTGAGAGTGTATGAGTGTGGTGTGTGCGTGTAAGCAAATATGATTCAGGCTCTAAGTGGTAGTGTGTGTGAAGGTGTATTGTGGTGTATGTGTGTGAGGGCAAGCCTTATAGTGCAATCCCTTGTGAACATTATGGTCAAGGGAGCCAAATTGACAGTATTACGTTTATTTGCAATGTGCTTTTCTTCATACTTAAATATCAAATATCAGTAGTAAAATATATATAATATATTTTTTGAATATAAAAACAAAATCAGTTGTACTCAAAATCATATGTATAAAAACAATTGTATAGTAAGTGCAAAAACATCAGGGTATACATTTTGTACCTGAAGATGATACTTTTGGAATATAGTAGAAAAGAAAGCATTAGTGTGGAAAAGGACTCTGGACCTTCATTGATAAAGTATAGTGAGTTTCTGCAAACATTAGAATAAATCACATACGTACGTACATTATGCCTTCACTGACTGTAAATGCAAACTT